GCTCACAAACGCCTCTTTAGATGGTCGGAACTTTTTAATGAATCTGTAGACAAATTTCTTAAATATATTTTATATCAAAATACATATATTCGAAAGACTAATAAACTTAAACTCTCTTAAACATTTGCTACTCCTGGCCAGTTTACTAAGCTCTCATCCTCTGACGAATCGTTGAACCAGAACTCGTTGTACTCATTTTACCACGTTTTTATAAACTTGCTTTCTTTTTTACTTCATTTTAATTAGAACAAATTTACATAAATATGTATAAGCACACTATTTAGCTTGCACGATTTGTAAACAAAGCTTCTCAGCGGTGAAAAATATACTATTGTGAACAACCTAAACGAGCGAAATTCACAATAGCGCTATTCTTCATCGAATGAGCGCCATAATACCAAATGAAAATTCGTTCGCTCAGCACTTTCGACCACAGTCGAAAATCGAATGCAACTCATAATAGGGGCCAAAATCATTCGAGCGGTTTTCGAGCATTTTGGTAATGAAAAAAATTTGCAAATTTTTTCAACAATTTTTTGCCTTAAAATGCTCAATATTTGTTAAATTTATATAAAATTTGTACCCGATAATATTTCTACTGCTCCAAAGAACCTATATCCCTAAAATGAAAGTTATATATGCCAACAATAAGTTGCTAGAGCACTTTAAAGGCTCAAAATTTACCCCAAAATAAGGCAATGTTTACCGTTGTTTTTACAACAGAAACCGAATTGGTTATTTTCAAAACGGAATCTGTCGACAGGTTTGGAATTTTATCTTTGAAACGCCACACTTTTCTTTGAAATCGCTTTATTAGTTCTCGTGCAATAAGCGTTTTTGTGAAGCTCTAAAAATTACAACTACAACATTTGAACATAGCCCCCATACCTTAAGGTAAGACGTATTCTACGTCAAAAAAAAAAAAACGGTTTAGAAGGAATGCAGGGAAGCAGTTCAGCTCTTCATCTGTAATCCTTTTAGAATGGCTTCACCTAAGAACGCCTGCCTAAATTATCTTCTGGGTACTTGTAGTATACATATGTACATATGTGAAGCATCGATAATTGTGTTTTGTGTCCCAATACCAATTTGCATCATTTGTTAATCCTTTGTGATTGAATAATTTTTCTTTCTAATAGATATTCTCTTTAACTTTATCGTCGAATTTCAGATAAAGTCAATAATAAATCATCAGAAAATTCGCGACCAACTATAAATTTAATTCATTACCTTCCACCATTTCGCCATACCTGCCATACACATACATACATATGTACGTACATATGTATGTACGTAGAGACGTATGCTTTTTTACGCGATCACGCTTTTGGCCAATCGTAGTGCAAATGATTTGATTGATTGATTGATAAGTTGATTGATTGCTTGGTTACTTATGCCGGTTGTTTAGTGGTCGATGGAGTGGTCTTTTCGGCTGCCCAATATGGTGTTTATTTGTATGTGTGTGGCAGCAAGTGAATGTGTTCCCGAATGGTGCATGGAAAAGTTAGGTAGATATGTACATATGTATGTACGTGTGTACGTATGTATGTGATGCTGTAGAAAAATATTTTTATATTCTAAGGTATAGAGTATTTTATACATATATCATTAGAAAGTTATTTTGATGCTGATGTGCAGTCTTACTCAAATTTCAAATCACTTTAAAATTAAGCGCCAAAATCAATTCAAAAATGA